TTTACGTGAAAGAGGGAGGTATGAGGGTGAGAGAAAGATTTGAAGATACCTTGCTGATTTTTAAACAATGCAGGTAGTCTCTAGAAAATGCAAGAAGTAAGGGAGATTTAAGGGAACTAATTCTCCCCTAAATCCTCCAAGAGGAATGCAACTCTGCTGACACCTTTTAGTAGTGTTGGATTTTAGGCCAGTAAAATCTACTTTGGACTTCTGACCTCCAGAAGTATACAATAAATCTGAGTTGTTTTAAGCCACCAGGCTTGTGGTGAAGTGTTACAGCAGCAATAGCAAATTAATACATGAATGTAATACATATGGCAACTATAAGATAAAGGGGTGAGGTAAAAGGAAATACATAGTAGTAAGACTGTCGGTTTACCTGAAGTGGTAAAATATTAAGTAGAATATAGAACAGAATAGAGAATTCAGAAACAGATCCACATATATATGACCAACTGATTTTTGACAAAGATGCAAAAGCAATTCAATAGATGAAGTTTAGCTAACAGTCTTTTCAACAAATGGTGCTGGAGCAAGAAGATATCCAGAGGTAGAAAGGAAAGGGGAAAGAGAATAGAGAAGAGGACAGAAAAGGAAAGGACAAGAACCTCTCCGTATCTCATGTAACACAAAAATTAAGTCAAAACGGATCATAGACGTACATGAAAAATGTAAATGTAAAGCTGTAAAACATAAAATCCTAAAGATCTAGGGCTTCGTAAAGAGTTCCTTGGCTTGACACGAAAAGCATAATCCACAAAAGAAAAAATGATAAAACTAGGTGTCATCAAAATTAAGGGGATGAAAAGCCAAGCTACCTTCTAGGAGAACACATCCAAGAAGAAACTCTCTAAACTCAACAGTGAAGAAAACAAGCAATCCATATGGAAAATGGGCAAAACTTATAAACAAACGTTTCACAGAAGATGACATACAGATGGCTAAGAAGTACACGAAAAGATGTTCAACATAAGTAAGCATTACGGATATGCAAATTAAAACCACAGTGAGATACAAATACACAGCTCTTAGAATGGCTTAAAACCACCACACATGCCTGACAACACTTGGTACTGGTGAAGAACTAGAACAAGTAAAACTTCCATACATTGCTGGGGGGAATGCAAAATAGAACAGTCACTTTGGAAAACAGATTTCTTTCCTATAAAACGAAAGAAACTTTATAATTTATATAAGGAACATGAGTAACCATGGACTTTGGTATCCATGGTGGCAGGGAGTAGGGAGGGTCGGGAAACCAATCCCTTCTGGATACGAAGAGATAACTGCACTCAGGAGTAAATTTAACCAAGGGCATGAACAATCTGTATAATGAAAACTATAAAACATCACATCAAACACTGACCCAGTAATCCCACTCCTAGGAATTTACCCAAGAGAAATGAGTTTGGGTGGCTGTGGCTCACACATGTAATCCCCAACACTTTGGGAGGCTGAGAGGCAGGAGGATCACTTGGACCCAGGAGTTTTGAGACCAGCCTGGACAACATAGTGAGATCCTGTCTCTACAGAAAACTAAAAAAATAGCACCTATAGTGCTAGCTTCTCAGGAGGCTGAGGTGGGAGGATCGCTTGATCCCCAGGAATTCATGGCTGAAGGGAGCTACAATTATACCACTGCACTCCAGCCTAGGTGACAAAATGAGTCCCTGTCTCAAAAAAAACAAACAAACAGAAAAACAAAAAACAGAGAGAAATTAAACTTTACATTCATACAAAACCTGCACATAAATATTTATGGCAACTTTGTTCATTACTTTCAAAAACTGAGAATAAACTAAATGTCCCTCAACCGGTAAATGGATAAATCAAAACTGTTTCCGATAGCTATTATGTAACTCTCTGGGAGTGATGTCCCTGAAGCTACCTTCTTGCCCAGGCCCACCCATCTAAAGCCACAGGACAAGTAACTGTTCTCTCTGGGATAACTGATCTCTCCAGAGTAGTCCAACCCTTTCTGATTAGGCCCCGACTAATTTTGGAATATATCTGTGACAACACCAGCAAAGGTAGTACAGGTAATGCTCTGAATAATATGTGTGTTCTTCTGGTTCACATTATTCCTGGACATTAATCACCAATGCTTAAGAAACTAGTCTAAAAATCCATCAGTCAAGGCATCTAAAGATAAAACAACATAAAGAAATCAAAGAAAAAGAGAAAATGAGGTTGGGTGTGGTGGCTCATGCCTGTAATCTCAGCATGAGGAGGAGGAGGTGGGAGAGGAGAAGGAAGAGGGGAGGGAGAAGGAAGAGGGGGAGGGGAAGGATGGGGGAGAGGGAAGGGGGAGAAGAGGAGGAGGAGGGAAGGAGAGAGAAAAGAATTGACTTATTTCAAACATTAAGATTGGATTGAAATGCTCCACTTCTAATATTTAGAGCCGAACAAAATAATTTTATGGGATTGTTGACTAAATGCAAAGGTGAAAATCTGTAACTGAATTCTGCTCACACTTACTAAAAAGGTATGTAGCTTAACCTATCTATTCTTCAATGTTTTTACTAATATAACTGAGAAAAATAAACGGTATCTTGCAACCCTGTCATATGGTAAAATATAATTGTAGAGCAAAGATTTTTAATGTTTAATACAATATAAAATAAAATTATTTTATATTGTTTGTGCAACCTTTCCTTTTTGTATCTATGTTTGTGCAGTGGAAATGGCATCAAGGCAGAAACAGTGAGGTAAAAAGTGTGGTTCCATTCCTAATACTCTTACTGCCTGGGTGAAATAATAAAGAATTGGGGAGTGGGCTCAACTGAAAGCTACCTAAGGAATGCACGATGACTCCTAAAGCTCAGATCCTGAATCCCTACAGTCCAGAATATGGTTGTTCAACAGCAGCACTACTGATATTATGAGTCAGCTAATTACTGGGGAGAAGGCGGCTCTGTACTGTAAGTTGCTGAACAGCACTCCTACCTTTACAAACTACATGCTAGTAGTGACCACTCTCCCTTTTCCCTGCCCATTCCCTAACAGGAATAATAAAAAATGTCCCATGGGGACTGATACAAAATGCTCAGTGAAAAGTGTGAAGGGGGTATGAAAGTGAATGCTACAGTGTGTGGCTAAGTGCCCTATGTGGGAAACTAGGAATATTATTAACTCCTGACAGTTTATAGTTGAGTGCCTCATCAGGAATTGTCTAGAACCAAAGGTGCTGCCTTACTCAAGGTTATGCCCCTTCCACTGGCTTAATCACGCCCAATTACTACTTGATACTGGAAGGCACAAAGGGCTACCCCCCATGCCTTCAGATGAGACAAGTATAAAGGATCACTCCAAAGTTCTTCACAAAAGAGGCTAAGGTCTCTGTAAATGCATCATAGATCACTTTTCCCACTGTTCAATGTGACTTTCTTCCTTTCCTTACAAATATTGGAAACAGCACTCCCCAATAATCCCCCTACCCACACATCTCTGCCTTAGAGTTTTGTTTACTAGGAAATCCAACCCAAGACAGGGTAATAAAATGAGTCTGTTCTATTTATGATATATATATGGTATTTATGTTTTAAGTGAAAAAGATCATTTGCTGGATAAGAGCAGAAAGACATATAAATGAATAAAAAGGAGAGTTGATGAAAATCACTAAAATAAACATCCCATAATTACAAATTCAAACTAAGATATTAAACAGAATGCTTCTGAACAGACAATTCATAATTTAACAGTTAACATTTCTGGGTACTTATTAAGTTCCATAAATTATGCTAAGTACTTTATATAGATTACCTGCCTGCTCTTCTCAAGTAGGCTATAAAGTAGGAATTTTTATTTCTATGTATTGGAATTTTCATGAGGACACTGAGGCCCAGGGAGATTAAGTACCTTATCTAAGGTGGTCATAGAGCACATGAGTGGCTGAGTTAGGCATCAAATCTTGGTCCATCCAATTCCACTTGTGTACACTGTCTGGATTGTGTCTACAGCCTCCTAACAGGGCCTCTCACTCTATTTTTATCTACCTCTACACCATTCTTCATATTGCTGCTAAAAACCATGTATCTAAAATACAGCTCTGATATTCTTTTTTTTTTTTTTTTTTTTTTTTTGAGGCAGAGTCTTGCTGTGTCCCCAGGTACCAGGCTAGAGTGCAGTGGCACAATCTTGGCTCACTGCAACCTCTGCCTCCCAGGTTCAAGCAATTCTCCTGCCTCAGCCTCCCGAGTAGCTGGGACTACAGGTGCATGTCACCATGCCCAGCTAATTTTTGTATTTTAGTAGAGACAGGGTTTCACCATGTTGGCCAGGATGGTCTCAATCTCTTGACCTCATGATCTGCCTGTCTCAGCCTCCCAAAGTGCTGGGACTACAGGCATGAGCCACCACGCCCAGCCCTGACCTTCATTTTCAAACTTAAAACTCTTGCTCCTTAAATTCTAGATAAAGTTCAAACTCCCTAGCATGGCGTGTAAATTCAAGGTCTTTCATGATCTGTTGCTTGATCATGACCATCTCTCCAGCCTTATATCCCGCTCAACTGAGCTGACAGCTCCTGTGGATCCTTTCTAATATAGCTACATAGGGGTTTATGTAAGTATTACAGACATTTATATGAAGATGTTTGGTTTATTTTCCCAGCAAATCAGGGCTACTATTTAGCAAACCTGTTTGTGTTCCAGACTCCATACTATGTGCTTTATATTATATACACTATTTCATTTAGCCCCCACGGTAACCTTAGGAATAAGTACAATTATTCTCATTTTAAAGTTGAGGAACCTAAAGATCATGAAAGTCAGAGAACTTCACAGCAAAGCTAATGGCAGAGCTGGGATAGAAACTTAAATCTGTCTGACTCTTGTATTTTAAACTATTATAGTAAAGGCATCCAGTTAAGTGTTTATAAAGTAGATCTCCATTCTTTTCACCTTATGAATACATGTAACACATAAATATCTGAGGTAAAAATATATACAGAAACATTTTAATGTCACAGATACCTGATATTTTAAAACGTGTGTACCTACCTGCATGAGATCTTGAAGGCTGTCAACAAAAGAAATCTCTGCTTCTATCATATAAAACTCTGCCAGGTGCCTCCGGCTCTGAGAATTTTCAGCTCGGAAGGTTGGACCAAAGGTAAACACTTGAGTAAAAGCTCTGCAATTCAAGATTAAGAGAATAAAAATAGAATTCACATGATTAAGTATTTAAAATACTCAGTGAGCTCTAACAGAAATTAAAAAAAGTTTTGTGTGCCTTTGTCTTGTCCACAGGCTCACACATATTTGCTGCTATATATTTCTCTAATACGTAATAATAATAGTTTCATTAAAAATGTTAAATTTAGGCTGGGCACAGTGGTTCCAGTCTGTAATCCTAGCACTTCCTGGTAGGACTGCTGGAATTTAGGAGTTCAAGACTAGCCTGGGCAACATGGTAAAACTTTATCTCTACAAAAAATCTTTTAAAACAGCTGGGCATGATGGCCTGCACCTGTAGTTCCAGCTACTTTTGAGGCTGAGGCAGGAGGATCACTTGAGCCCAGGAGGTAGAGGCCACAATGAGCCACATTCATGCTACAGCATTCCAGCCTGGGTGACAGAGTAAGATCCTGTCTCAACAAAAAAAAAAAAAAAAATAAAAGTGCGAAGAAAGAAAAAAGAAAAAGAAAAGAAAGGTTACATTTATAGAAACCATTTTATCCTGAAGGAATCTGCAACTGCTTCACAAACCCTATGGTTTTACTAAATATAGAATAGAAACATAACCACTTCTGGGTGCACTCTACTGCAGCTGCCTTTAACAGCAGGCAACTACATTTCACAGCAATCAAGAACAAAGTAAAGAAAAAGATATCGCTGCCCAAGAAACCACAAAGAAAATCTAGATAATAACAGTGAAAACTAGAATTTCATATAGATAAGGTATGTTCATTTATTTTTTAAATACATGAAAAAAGAACGTCAGATACATATGGCAGTTCACCTTACTCAAAGCCCACTCAAGTCCTTCACGACCACCCATGTCTTTCAATCAATGGCAAATGACCCCTGAAATTTGGAGGTGAGAGATTTTGAAGAACTACTTTATTCCCTTGAATCCAAGAAGGACTATAGCTAAACCATCCCTTATTCTTAAACTCCTACAGTGAAGTGGACACAACAACTGTCATTCTTTAATGCTTACTGTTTCCCTCATATTCAAACCGAGTTAATAGCTGAGATTAGATCAAGCACGTATGAAGGAACAAATATTTCTGGAGGACTTAATCTTAAAATGTTAAGGTTTTGTTAGAACAAAGCAAGCTGTCTGAGGCTCCTTAGCTATGATCCTGAGCATGCTTCATTTCTCTGTCATTTAGCCAAATAATATAAAGATCAGAAAACTTAGTGCAGAAAATAGATGGATTTTGTATATTTATTAGTGTTTTTTTTTTTTTTAAAGTAAAAATACTCTGGGAAAGGAAACAGTAAAGTAACTATGGTGAAAACTAAGAGATTTATTTTTCTCTCAAATTGCCATTTCAGTAAGACCCCGTTGGTAGAAGCTTCGGAATTTATATTTTGGTTCTACAGCTACCTTCCTCAAACGATAATCTGTTAACCTCTGAGATCCTTAGTTTTTAATGAAAAAATAGTAGAAACTCAAAAATATTACTATGGTTGCCTTTCTCCCAAGATTCAACTCCAGATTTGCCTACTAGAGTGTTTCTGAAAAGACTAAACCTACCTTGTGCAAAATTAAAATTTTTATCCTGTTTCCCAACACAAAAGACATAATGAACAATCCTGCCTTTCTTTTTACATTTCCTCCAGCTATCTCAGTTAATCCCCCTACTGAACCAAGCCAGATACCACATTCCCCCACTGACCACATAGGCCATATAACTTTGATCACAAAATTCAGTTGTTTACACCTTGGAAAACTCTGAAATCTCGCAGCTCTTCTCTTATCTTCACAGCTATTGTCAGTGGAAACCTTTGTCTCTGGCTTAGAAAGACAGGTCTAGTACCTGTCTTCCTCCAGCCCCAAACTACAGGTTTCCAAACTCAAATCTGATTATGTCTTTCCTAATTTTAAAATCTTCAATGATTCCTTAGTACCAAAGAGTAAAATTTTAACTCTTAATTTCAACTCAGTTGTTTCCAACACACCCTTTTCTCCAGCCACTCTGAAGATCTTCTCCTTTCCTAGCATGCCCCATGCATGCATGTCCTTGGGTTTTTGCATAGGCCCTTTGCTACCCTGTATTGCCTCTTCCCCTGCTCCTCTCCCCTCCAAATGGAAAGTTCCCATTCATCCTTCAAGACTTGACTCAACCGTCACTTTCCCTTTGAAACCTTATCACTCCCCCAAATTTATGGCTCCCTCTAGTATATTACAACACATTTTCATGTTTATTATATAGAACATATCACTCTGAAATGTAATTATCTATTTAAGTATCTTTCTCCCCCAATAAACTATGACATTTTCCAGAACAGGGATCATGTTTTATTCATATTTGCATCTCTAGTGCTTAAGATAAAACAGGTGCTCATGCTGAATGAATGAGTACTAATGATGATGACAGGCTTCCTCAGTTATAAACTAAAAAGCACATCCTCACAAAAAGTAACATTGCAAATACAGAATAATACTCAGATATATGTCACTCTGGCTGTCAGTACCTAAAATGGGTCAAAGAATCCAGGTCTGGCACAAACGATAAATTCAACAATTACAAGGACCTGAGTTTCCAATCTGTGACTGTACCATCTCTAAGTAGGTTGACAATAGTATATCTAAAAAGTAAAATGACATATTTTTCTGGTACTGTATCACAAGAAACTGTGTGTATACATATGAACAAAGGATACTCCAAGATGAGCAACAATAGGGATTTTTAAATTTTACAATGATAGCAAGGTCTCTAGTATAAAATGTACAAGAGGCTCCGTAATTTTTATTTCAATTATAGTAAGGATCAGGCTCTGACTGAGGTATCCAAGGGTTAAATATCATTTTGACAGAGTAAGAACTAATGACCAAAGTGCTTCCGCTAAAGTAACAGAGTGATAAAATGAACTGGAAGGTATGTTGAAAACTGCATGAGAAAGCATCTAATTTTTAAGCACATAAATGTTTAAATCCTTCAGTAATAAAGATCACCCTATGTCAGTGTCCAGTGTTCTATTATAAGTAATGGTAGCAGTAGCAGTACTAGTGGCTACCATTACGGAGTGATCATTGTGTGCCAAGCACTAAATGGCCAAGAACCTTAAGTTAATCCCTTCAGAGTTAACTCAATCTTAGTATGTATAAATACATTTATTTTCCAGAATAAGAAACTGCAGTTCAGAGAGGTTAAGAAGCTTAACCTCACAGAGTTATAGTTTAATAAATGGCGGAAGTCAGACTCAAATCCACATTTCTGACTCTAATGTTCACAGCCTTAACCATGATATTAACAACGATGCTCACGACAACACCACAAGCTCAGAAAATTAGAAAGAAAAATTTTTAGTATATTTCCACCTCTCTAAGACAACTAAGGTAAGAGTTCTGTATATTGTGAACAGCTTATTTGTTTTATGTGTTAAAATACCGCTCTGTAGAACGTTATCTTCATGAAACTAATGAGAATGATATATCCTCATCAATACTTTGTAATCTTTAGCAAGTTATTTAGTTTTTCTGGTCTTCAAATTCTTATAGAACTCAGGGTTGGAGGCAGCCTGGCATTGATCTCTAGTATCTTTTGCAATAATTTTGTCACTAGGTGGATATGAAATCACTTCTATTTTAATTTATGCTAATTTCCTTCTTTTTTTCTGTCTTCCACAGACATGAAAGCCATGTGCGGCAAAGACTAAACCAACTAACATTTAAAATAAAATCTGAGAACAAGGTCATTTCTAAAATAAGATACAAAACCAGGTGAAAGGCCAGTATTGCTCTGAGAAGAGACCAGTAGAAAAAGAAAACACTGAGCACTAAGAATCATTCTTGTGCCATATTATGAAGAGAACAAAACTACACAAGGAAAATCAACAGGCTTGGAGTTGATGTTTAGTATAACATAAGTACATTCAATACCAATCAACCAAGATAACTAGAAAAATGGCTCTTTGGAAAACAAAACGCAAAATTGCAAAAGAAAAAAAAAAGTTTCTACAAAGTTCACTTTCTCCTGTGGGTGGAGTTTTATGAAGCCCTCAAAATGGCAACTAGATTAATATAAAGTGGTCACTGACTGCCTGGCTATTTATTCTTTCTGGCCCTAAAATTTCATAGTCAATCTTAACATTTTGAAAGAACAGAGGAATTGCTATTCTTTAGTTTGGGAAGAACTTATTCAGCACAGGTCTGGCGTGGTGGCTCACGCCTGTAATCTCAGCACTTTGGGAGGCCGAGGCGAGCAGATCACCTGAGGTCATGGTGAAACTCTGCCTTTAAAAAAAAAAAAAAAGAACTTATTCAGCATAAAATTGATCAGCAACTTTCCCTACAACCTTCCCAAACCACCCCCAGCCGCTGTATCACTTCTCTACTGTTAGTTTAGTAAAAGTTCATTGAACTTAAGTGAACTCACAGAAAACCTTGAACTGGATTTTAAGTTTTTGCCAAGTGGTTTTCTCATCATTCAGCAAATGACCATCTATTTTACTACTGTTTTGTGTTCACCAGATTGTTAATACTGTGACATATTTTGCATTCATTCTTTCTATATACCTAACAGAGTGGACTCCCGATATCTCGTTTTCAGCTTTCCCCTATTCCCTATCATGTAATACACTTGGTGGGAAGGGATTATAAAAGAGATGCAGCCCTCACCATTTCAACAATCATGTCATGTCAAAATGCCTTAGGCAGGGTGCATTCTAAATTCTCAAAATTCTTATTTTTATTGCCAAAAACTTGTGCCAAATAATTTCCTTTAACATGTTCTTCTTCTATTTTTTTAGCACAAAAACCTGAAAAGTAACATGTTCTTAATACTTTATTTGGAACTGAATTTGAGACCCAAGCAAAATATAATCTTAAGTGTATGATGAAACTCAAAGTTTGACGGAGTCTGCCAATAATCCTGCTAAAGGAAGTGGAAGGTTAGCTAATCATCTGAGGAGATGACATGTGAAAAGAACATTCAAACAAAGCAAACACCAACACATAGG